GTACACCAGTGCTGCAGGTACACCAGTGCTGCAGGTACACCAGTGCTACAGGTACACCAGTGCTACAGGTACACCAGTGCTACAGGTACACCAGTGCTACAGGTACACCAGTGCTACAGGTACACCAGTGCTACATTTACACCAGTGCTACAGGTACACCAAGGCTACAGGTACACCAAGGCTACAGGTACACCAGTGCTACAGGTACACCAGGGCTACAGGTACACCAGTGCTACAGGTACACCAGTTGCTACAGGTACACCAAGGCTACAGGTACACCAGTGCTACAGGTACACCAGGGCTACAGGTACACCAGTGCTACAGGTACACCAAGGCTACAGGTACACCAGTGCTACAGGTACACCAAGGCTACAGGTACACCAGTGCTACAGGTACACCAGGGCTACAGGTACACCAGTGCTACAGGTACACCAGGGCTACAGGTACACCAGTGCTACAGGTACACCAGTGCTACAGGTACACCAGGGCTACAGGTACACCAAGGCTACAGGTGCACCAGTGCTACAGGTGCACCAGTGCTACAGGTACACCAGGGCTACAGGTACACCAGGGCTACAGGTACACCAAGGCTACAGGTGCACCAGTGCTACAGGTACACCAAGGCTACAGGTACACCAGGGCTACAGGTACACCAGTGCTACTGGTACACCAGTGCTACAGGTACACCAGGGCTACAGGTACACCAGGGCTACAGGTACACCAGGGCTACAGGTACACCAGGGCTACAGGTACACCAGGGCTACAGGTACACCAAGGCTACAGGTGCACCAGTGCTACAGGTACACCAGTGCTACAGGTACACCAGGGCTACAGGTACACCAGGGCTACAGGTACACCAGGGCTACAGGTACACCAGGGCTACAGGTACACCAGGGCTACAGGTACACCAGGGCTACAGGTACACCAGGGCTACAGGTACACCAAGGCTACAGGTGCACCAGTGCTACAGGTACACCAGTGCTACAGGTACACCAAGGCTACAGGTACACCAGGGCTACAGGTACACCAGGGCTACAGGTACACCAGGGCTACAGGTACACCAAGGCTACAGGTGCACCAGTGCTACAGGTACACCAGGGCTACAGGTACACCAGTGCTACTGGTACACCAGTGCTACTGGTACACCAGTGCTACAGGTACACTAGTGCTACAGGTACACCAGGGCTACAGGTACACCAGGGCTACAGGTACACCAGGGCTACAGGTACACCAAGGCTACAGGTGCACCAGTGCTACAGGTACACCATGGCTACAGGTACACCAGGGCTACAGGTACACCAGGGCTACAGGTACACCAGGGCTACAGGTACACCAGTGCTACAGGTACACCAGGGCTACAGGTACACCAGGGCTACAGGTACACCAGTGCTACAGGTACACCAGGGCTACAGGTACACCAAGGCTACAGGTACACCAGGGCTACAGGTACACCAGTGCTACAGGTACACCAGTGCTACAGGTAACCAGGGCTACAGGTACACCAGTGCTACAGTACATTGGTGCACCAGAGGAGTTGCCATGGTAACCCACAGTGGAATTGCCACAGTGACCCCCCAGGGGAGTTTACAATGGAATAAAGGATTTAATGTGTATAATTATTGGAAAGTGTTGCGTAGAGGGGGGAGGGGGGTGCTTTTGGTCATGACAGTACTCGTGTGGGAGACGTTGTGGCCTTGTACGTGTACGCTCTTCTAGGTGTCCTTCAGTCAGTGTTTAGTTGTTTTTTTATTTCCTCCGTCGTTAGTTATTGCACCACGACTTCCTGTTGCATCTTGCTCGGGAGAACTGTGTGTTGCACTTGGGTGGACGGCATATGTGCACGTCTACCGGCTTGTTGAATAGTTTTCAGTTGCAGTTTCTGTGATAGGAAGTCATCATAGCCTAAGGTTGCTTTTTTGGTGGTGAGTGTGCATGTTAATGGTTGTGTTTCTTGAGGGTGCGGGTCAGTAAGTGTGTTTATCTCTGATGGGTAGACTAATAGTTTTTAGGGTGTTATTTAATAATAATACTTTATTATTTAAACAAAGGGATCAGATTACATAGCTTACTGACTTATAACAGTACTGTATTTGTATATTTTATAAAGCTACTTATTACACACTGCGTTTCCCACATAATGTTAGATAATGAATGAGTTAGTTGATAAAAAAGAATTGTTGAAAATAATTTAATGATAGTGTGTGTGTAATTACCTAAGTGTAGTTACAGGATGAGAGCTACATTCGTGGTGTCCCGTCTTCCCAGTACTGTACTGTACTCTTTGTCGTATAACGCTTTGAAACTACTGGCAGTTTTGGCCTCCACCACCTTCTCACTTGTTCCAACTGTGTACTGTGTGTGTGTGTGTGTGGTTGTGTATGTGTGTATGTGTGTATGTGTGTATGTGTGTGTGTGTGTGTGTGTGTGTGTGTGTGTGTGTGTGTGTGTGTGTGTGTGTGTGTGTGTGATTTATTTGTAGATTCTGTATTTGTAATAATGT